AAAGGAATTCATGTAATAACAATAAAATTATTTCTAGAATAAAATTTGTTTCTGAACATAAAAAAGATTGAGCACTTTGTGTGGCCTGTGGATGAGGAATACATATATTTTTAAGCAGTTTGGTTTAGGACAAAGTGTCTCACCATGACAGACAGTCTCTGAGGGCAGTGAAGTAAGGATACTTGGATATGACACAGAAACTGAAGGCAGAGAAAAGTTTAGAAAACTTAGAGGACCCGGCTTCATTGTGAAAGTATGAGATCCCTTCCTGTAGAAACAGAGAAAATCCACCAGTCACCTGAATTCATTTAAAGTTACTTGTATCTGACTCATATTCAAGTATTACATGTAGTACTGTTTACCAGTATTGGTTGGTAGCACTGCATCACTACTCCATGGGTCTTGTTGCCAAAGACATCAGTGAAAACCAGGAAGTGAAACTGTTCATCTTTCTGTTCATTGGTCACGTGGAGTCCACCTGGTAGAAAGAAAAGAAATCTATATATACACTTCAGTGGATGAACAGGATGCACATACAAAATCACAATTTCTGAAGCCGGTATGTCAATTATGATGATACGATGATGATGCATTAGTGTAAGTGTTTTCAGAGGATATTGAAACATAGATTTAAAAACCAAATACCAGGGAAGCAGAGCTGAGGTAAAGCCTTGAGGTCAATGTCGTAAGAAACGCTCACGTCTTCACTCCCTCCTCTTCCTTCAGCAGCTACACCTAGAAATATATGAGAATCTAAAACGACATAAAACTAAAAGATGCCAACCAAAGACAACAATACAGGAAAGACAGTTTGCAGAGGGGATTAGAAGGTCTCACACAACTATGAGAGGGATGAATCAGACACCTAGAAAACATGTTTGTGTATCCACAGTCACGTCTAATTAAAAACAACTGTTATTTATGTATTGATATGTGACCAGTGGGTGGCCCAGACACACAGGTATCAAACCTTGGCTCGGGGCTGAGGCTGCAGAAGGATTTTGCCTCTTCTTCTTGAGAAAGGAGCGTCTCCTCCTCCCATTTGAACTCACCACGTCACTCTCATCGTGTTGGCTGCTGACAAAGGGGGGCGCCAGGACATGCAGTACCTCCGGCTCCAGCAGGAGGGGCTCAGGAGCCCCGTTATTGTTAATAGTCTAAGTGATAAGAGAGTGATAAGAAGTTTGCATCACCCTCTATTCTTATTATAATACTGTTTAATGCATGACAGCATAATGTTAACTATCACATTACTTTGCATATATTCATGTGGTTAATTTAATGACAGAAAGGACACATTTCGGTTTTACTTTTGGTCATTTGTGTATTATTATTTGTATATATATCACAGTTAACAATGATATTGCTTTTATGGCCAGATCACTATTGAAAATGAAAGCCTTTATCTCAGTGGAAGTATCCACTAAGATGAAAAAAAGATGATGATAAAATATTAGGTTTGTATATATTCACCATACATTCATGGTGCGTTTAAAGGTAAATACCTGGTAGACCTCCCTGAGTTTGTCTATAGATGCTCCAACAACCACGCAAGCTTCCAGCAGAGCAGGAGCCAGATGATCCGCCATCACTGAAACCTGGACCAGGACCCGGCCGGACCAGCAGAACTGGACCAGTGGCTGACGCAGACCCGCTGAAAGTAACAAACATAGAGGAACCAGAATATGTGTTTCCTAGTTGTTCTATCTTCTTTCAGGTAATCGAAAACAACATAGATCCAGTCAGACGGTTGTTGTTTTTTCCACCACAGATCTATTAAGTGGAGTAGAAACAGCCTTGGAAATGATTCCACATACAAAATCTACATATATGTTTCTATGTAGTGTTAAGAAGTGATAAAGCTGTAAATGTATCTCTGTAAAAACATGTCAGTTTACTCACAAAACGGTGACACATACGCCACAGTCACAGCCCTCTTCAGAACACAGTGTGCCAAGACAAGGCCATTTGAATGTACTTTGTAGTGTGGAGTCTAAATGTATATACTCTATCTAATGCACCGTGCTATCGATTACTGCTGCATGAGTGCATCTATGGAACAAAGCATAGGAAGAAGCTCATCGTGTAGAAAAGTAGTGATTATTTTTCAAACTCATTTCTCTCCACCCTCTCCTCTTTCTCTCTGTGTCTCCACACTACTGGAGACACAGTCTACTCTTTCTCCACAGTGGGGGGGGGGCATTTTTAATCACATTTCCCTGTCGCTCCTGACAGTCAAGTGTCGCCTTGGAAAATTAGGCTCATGTGTGCAGAGCAGTACACACACACACACACACACACACACACACACACAGGTTGCAAGAGGAATCATTCTACTTTGTGTTGTTTTTTCTTCCCTAAACTGATTTTCAAATAAGCACAGCAACAATGTGTCTTTGTTCTCTAATTTTAAATGAAATGAAAACGAACCCTCGGCAGCAGGAATGTTCAGCATAACTTTACTAATATCCCATTAAATGAGCACACCACATGACCGGCCGCTGTCCCTCCATTATTAGTCCGAGGATGTGACAATCATCAGCATCATCATCATATACAGCACAATCATATGATCCTTGGGGGGGAAAACAGGCTAGTTCCACAACAAAACAATCTTCTCATGTCTATCTCTATAATCACAGTCTGGAAGAGGGGGGGGGGGTATTAGTGCAAGAACAAAGTCACAAATTTCTGAGAACATCACTCTGATATTCTCTGAGATAATGAAATCAGAAATTTGCGACAAGAAAAAGTCCAATATTCACAATTTTGCAAGAGAAAACAGCAACTAGTGTTTGTTTTTGTCAGATGGTCGAGTCTGATTAAATTAGAACACTTTGCAATTAGATTCAGCAATAAGTAAATACTTGTGGTTTCAGCCCAGAACCTGTGAGCGTCTGAATGAGTGAACCAAGATGCAGCACATAGCTACAAGTAGTAAATTGAGATGATCGTATTCTGAGTAAAGGGATGAAGCTGTGCAGGACCTGGATCTGTGAGCTGGATGACTGAGGAGCGAGCAGGGAAACGAGCAGACTTGAGGAGTCGAGCTGGTTGTGGTGGTTTCTGAATCCTGAAGCTCAGGGACTTGAAGGTTACTCAGAGGAAACTACAAATCCCCCTTCAAATAAACTGAGATGTCTCCAGTGACTTGTTTGCATCTGTGCACAAAATCTCCTAAACATGTTGCTTTGATTTTTATTTTTCATCTAAGACCATTTCTGATGTTTCCCAGCAAATGTAGGTCTATACTCTCAGAGTATATTAAAAGATGTTCTTGCAAATGTATGATCTCATACAATCTCAGTAGATAAGTGTTTTTTCTGTACATGCAC